TTTCGGACCTAAATTGTCCCCCCCCCCCCCCCCCAATTTCGAAGCCTCCGGGATGAGGTTCTGCACAGCAATGAGGCGCCTGGTGGAGTCACATGGACGGCCCCGCATCTTCTACCCTCAACTCCATCCGGTGGAAGGTTTTTTATCATCAGTCTCGCAGTGCGGGGTTTGAGGTTTAGGAAAGGCTAGGGTTTAGGATTCATGGCTTCCTTCCGGAGGCTTTAGGGCTCCGTGGTGTAGGGTCCATGTCAGGTTTGGGGCTTACAGGATCCATGAGCTCTTTGGTTCCTAAACCCTTCATGGCGATGTATCGCTATTTGCACGGCCGACTCCTAAGCATACACACCATCGCACGGCAGAAACGTTTAGAGTTTAGAAGATACCCTAAATTAAACTCCATACTTTAACCCGACAAGCAATCTGATGGAGGCAGCTCCAAAGGCTCGATGACCCGATGTCAGGGTGCCTGAGTTCGGTGCAACATCGCTCCTGGACGGGTTTGAGGCGACTTAACTTGTTTGTTCTTTGCGCGCTGGCTCCTTCTTGTCGGTACAGTTCCAAGGCTCTTTCGAGCCTGTAAAGGCTTTGGATTTTAAGAATTGGTGTTTAGGTGTTGTCTCGAACGGCTTTGAAATCGTCGGGGCTCAAGGTTGTGGTGCTTTCGGGAATGTTGGGTAGGGGGCATCGGGTTGGAAGGGCATCGGTTTGCGGTGCTTGTCTGATTCGTGGCGGCAAACAGGCTGAGGAGGCAGATTGAGTTTGGAGACATTGGAAGGGAGCGGCTCGAGAAGGCTCGGGCCACGAAGCCCTTCTCCGAGAAGTTCGATGTTTGTACAGCGACAATCCCCTGAGACAGGACGGGACTCATGTCAACCCCGCCGTCCTCGAGCTGCTTTGGCCCTCGAGGTTCCACCTCGCCTTCGCACACTACGACGTTTAGAGGGCTGAACAAATACGATACGTGTTCTGAAGCTCTTGGGGTGGAGCGTGGAGCACAGCTTCAGCAACGAAACTTCAGCTGGGTCTCTGGCAGACAGAATCGAGAAGGGCAGCGATCAGTTGGAAGCTGTGTGCCTTGCGGCATGTTTGTGAGAGCTACAGCGATGTGGGTTCATTGGAAGGATTTCCCGAGAAGGCACGCATGCACTCTGAGACCTCCTGGACTGACATGCAAGATTCCGAATCCCACTTCGACGATCCCCGGCAAGATCCTGCGACAGCAGCCGCTCGCGTCTGCGATGCAACTCCTTGCCCGCAAAAGCATGTAGGGAATATCCGTCTGTCCGCAAGATCAGGTATGGGCAACTGTGCCTCCCACAAGACCTGCAAAGGCCCCCATAACCAAGAGCCAGATCTCACACAGCAGGTTCTTCCCGGATCAACTGCAGCTGAAGGCCTTGATGTCCCTTGCATGATAAGGGCCCTACCCGGGCACGTTATAAGATCGAATTCTATGTCCTGTTCCTCCTTCGACAGGCCATCATCCCGAATATTGATTGTATGCCTCACTGATGCAACCCGGTAGCACTGTAAACCTTTCCAACACCTCGTTCGACCTTGTAACACACCGCGCAGCATTCGAAATAAAACGCTCACAATGCCCCTTGCAATGGAAGCCGATAAAGCTCTTGAGCCCAACTCCCTCTGGGCGTGCCCCCCTCGAGACTGTTGTGTAAACCGCTCCTGCGTCATGTCCTTCCAGGTCGGCGCCGGCTCCCTTGCGGGGCGGCCCAAGAGGTGCTGGGCCTCTCTGTCTTGCTTTTTCTTTCTTGGGTGGGTATGTAGTTTCGCAGAGGGTTGTTAGAGGCTTGAGGGCTGAGAGAGGCGTCTCTTGCACTCCGTGTACGCGCGCAGTGTCCTCTGAAGACGCGGCCAACGAATTCCTACACAGGACCCGAATTCTCGAAGCGACCAAAGTCTGTCGCGATGATGCACTCAAGGATCGGAAAGCCAAAACTGGATCATGTCAGGCTACGACCAAGATGATAACCTGCTGTTGAGCTCAGTGTTGACCCCACACCTGGGTTTACGGTAATCAAACAAGCAGAGATCCCTATCCGAGCGCGATGCAACCAACAGCAGATCCCATTGAGCGCTGGCCTGCCGTTTTGGGCGGGAAGCGTTATGTCACCGAACCCTCAGATCCTGCAGTATCCTCAGCACAATTTAGAGGCCTGAAAATCCTGGAATAAGCCCATGGGCCATGGGTGATACCCCGATGTGGAAATATTCGGGGGATGTTCCGAAGTATTCTGACGCCGAAGGCCCTCCCCACCTTGGCAGCTGCAGATGCTTCCCTTGCCTCTAGGCAGGAGCTTCAGAACCCGAAGTACTCGGCTTAGCAGGATCCTCAATATAACACGGGCTCGAGGAGGCACTCCGAATTCCGATGGGAATCGACTCGGGAGGCCAACTCCAGCCTACCCGTTTCAGCTTTTGGCCCTGCCAGACAGACTCGAGGGAAGCACCCAAAACTCCGATGTTGCCGAACCCGACCACCATAGGAGCTCCCAGAAGAGCATGACAAGAAGTAGCAGGAGGTGTTCTCTGGGAAGTTGTCTTTGAGCTCCCAGCCTTCTTCACTGCTTCAGCCCCAAGCCTCGGCTGGAGCCGCGGCCCCTTTGACAAAAAGGACGTGGCTCAGACTTTCGAGTTTGGGTGTAGGGTTTAGGCCTTTACTTGCGAGGTTCTTCCGTCAATGCCGTCGCAAGGACAGCAGCAGAGCTGGAACTCCCACAATTGGGAAGACTTCCGGGGGTCCCAGCTCGAGTGCTACTGCACGGTACAGTGTTCGAGACTGAAGTTGCAGCCATGCAGCATCGTCGAGCCTGCCGGTTGCTACAAGGAGATGTAAGGCGTTCAAAGTGCACGAATGCCGAGTCTCCCCACAGGCTTCTTGAGCCCGCGGGATGCCAAGGAGAGCAGCCCAGGACGAAGCACCCCTGAAGGGCCTAAGGTCCCCTATCTCGCGACTAACCACGCATTTCGGCCTGAGCCTCGCTCCTCCTTGTCGAGGACGCCGGTGGCAGCTCGAAGGAGCGCCTTTACGGCACGGAGCTTTTGATGTTTATCCTTCGAACCATGCTTTTCTATGTGTGTGTGGCTACATACTCCCGATGTGGATAGCCGTGATTGCTTGCGTCCTCGTACTACTACTACTACTACTACTCCTCCTCCTCCTCCTGCTGCTGCTGCTGCTGCTGCTGCTCCTGCTGCTGCTGCTGCTACTACTACGACGACTGCTACTACGACTACTACGACGACGACTACTACTACTACTACTACTACGACGACTACTACTACTGCCACCACTGCTGCTTCTGCTACTACACCACCACCTCCCAGTTATCTAGTTACCTAGAATACCACCGCTTTGAAGCGGTCCCAACTCGTTGCCTCCTCCTCCGCCTGACCGGACTTGGCCCAGTCCTCTTCTAAAAGGCGCCTGGCGAGGTCGGCAAACCAGATGCAGGCGTCAGTGGGCTTCAGCAGTCAAGGGTCTTCAAGGGTCCAGGCGTGTCAGGGGTTTGTGGTGTGTGAGGGTCTGCAGCGTCACTGCATCAGCCCAGAGACCCAAACCCCCAACACTCAAACCTCTTGGTTGAGGCATACCCAACTTAACTTCTGACCGCGTGGGCAAGCGACAAGTGACAGTGATCGTTGAAAGTAGGGCGCACTGAGGCCTAAATCCTATTCAACTCTGAAACCTTAGAACTTAGGGTACCAGGCAGCGCTTACAAGGGTCCTTACAACAAGGATCCCGCCATGATTTACGGTAAACAACCAAGTTGAAACGGTTGTAAAAGTGATCATTGAACCCTTAGCCTCGTCCATGAGGTAGGACGAAAATTGCTGAACATAAACCCCAAGTCTTCTCATCCTCAACCAACAAACCCCTCGTAAAGACCCGAAATAGTAGGATCCTTGCTAAGGACCCGCCCAAATACCGTACCTCGAAGATCAAGAAAACCCCCTGCTGGACCCTTGAGCACTGAAAGCTCGGTCCAACAGTGCTGCTCTGCCCTGGCAACACAAGACGTGGCAAGGCGGCAAGACCTGAGACAAATTTAAACTCCACTGGCTTTCAGAGTAAGAAACGAAGCTTACGGGCTACTTATCTTAGGACTTTAAGGTAATCAGATCTCGTGCCGTTAACCAGGTCGAATTCACCCTGTTAAGCCAGCTCCCGTGTTTTCGGGGGTCCTTAATGGATTTAGGGTCTCAATCGGGTTGACTTGTTCTCCATTCACCTCTTGGTGTAGCTTTCGGTTCACACTAGAGCCTAGCCTTTTGTGCCATGGCTTGAAGTGAAGAGTGGCTCGATACTGAGAGCTTCATGTGGACTTGAGCAGCTCTGCAACGTCCTCTGCTTCAGCGAGGCAGCTGGCGCTGACGCATGAACAGCTGGCTGGGAGTCAAGAGAAACCTATCGGCCTGGTCCTGAATTTGAGGTTTCCTGCTTTGCTCTGCAAGCAATGCCGGGCGACAAGCCCAGGCCCTCAAACTGCTATGCCACCGGGCGACCAATGGGAAGGGCGCTGTGGCCATTTTGCATCGATGTCGCGCCTTCAGGCTGCAGCGGCTGTCATAGAGCTGCCAGCTGCTTCGCTGTCTACTCTATGGCTGGTTGCAGCTGCCGCAACGGGCCGAAACGTGAGGCAGCTACTTGAGTCGATCCGTGCATGGGGGCACCTTCCAACCTGCTCATGAATAAACTAGGCAAACTATTTGTAATCCATGCGTCGATGAATCGATGACAGAACTTCCAGGAATCATATTGGCTTTTCAGGCCCAATGTAGACTGGAGCAGAAGCGAGTATGATATGAATGTACATAAGTATTAGTGACCTGTTCATTATATGCATGTCTGTTTTCTCAGTTAAAGATATATGTACATCTACGTTATGTACCTCCGTACATCTTTGCCCTGCAATGTCAAGACCACAGGCCTTGCGAAGGGCGGCCAGCTTCTGCACATTCCACGTCTGCGCGCCCTCGCCTCTTCGAGAAGCTACCCCCCGGCACATGCGTTTGCTGTGTTTGCTAGAAGCTCCCGAACCCAAATCCGGAGTTGGCTGTGCAGCAGAGAAGGAGAACCCCATAGACGGACGTGATCTGCCACTTTGACCTGAGTCCTCAATGCACCCACAGACAGGAAGCAAGCAGATCTAGTTGCCCGCCACCGACCGTCAGAAGAGCCCCCCAGACAGAAAGGCCACAACAGGCCTAGCATCCACAGCGGAAGGTCCTCGCAGAAAAGAGAGAGAACAGCAGAGGCTTCCCAAGCGCGAGGAGTATGCCTATGTAGAAGATGGGATCCCCTATCTGAGTTGCTGGTAATACTCCCAAATTTAAGGGTTCAGTAGAAGACCGGGCTTTGCACTGGGGGTTTGAGCGTCAAGAAGCATACGATGGGCGTCGTGGAAGACCGTGACGGCTCCAGTCACGGCCCTTCGTCTCTCAGAGCTGCGATGCATGCAGCTTCTTTTGTCCTTCTTTAGGCCAGTCTAAAGCGGAGGACGAGCGGCACCAAACCTTAAACGTCAGACATCCCAAAGCGCATTCCAACCAAGCCGACTTGAGGCCGGTGTTTCCGGCATTCCTCGACACATGGCGGAAGCCCGAGTTCCCCACACCGACCCTACATTCCCTGATATCCTGGCGAGCGCCACAAAACCTTCAATCCCGAAGAAGAACTCTTTTGTTATTTTACGGGGAAACATGGGAACTCGCTGGTATCCCCTGCTGTCCACAGCTGCCATTGCGGCCCAAAAGCGGCGGAGTGCAGCAGCGCCAACGCCCTTCCACGGAAAGTGGAGCCAAACAGCCCGGTGTTCAGGTAGTTGTATGGGGTTCTATAACCATGGAAATATGCTTTCAGTCATACTACGAAGATCACTAGAATCACTAGAATTGAATCGAAGGCATATCACGTAACTAAGGGGCAGTACATTGGACCTAGCGTGTTGTGGGCTGTACCCAACTCATGCATCACCCAACTCTCCACTTCAAAAGTTTCCAAGATATTCCAGTCGCTTCTGCAGTGGACCCCAATGATAAGGGGCCTGTGTTCAAGAAAGCGACATTTGGGCCACCCAACCAAGCCCGAATCATGTATGAAGAGCCACTGATCATTAGGAATTCTTGACTATGAGGGTCGTGTTCTGAAACCAGGAGTGTTCGGGTTCCCGTCTTGTACTGTGGGGTCACAAGAAACGTAAAGTCTAAGCTTGAAATGGGTTGACCCTGCAACGATGTCCCAGAAGCAACCGCTACAAAAGTGCTTCTGCGACAAAATCAGCACGACGCATTTGAGTGTTGCAGGCTCTCTTTCCGCGCAGCGCGCACGGAGGCGTCTGGGGGCGAAGTTTCAACTTCTGCGATAGTCGTGTTGCGGTTGTTAGCCGCTGCGCCCTCTTTAATTCAATAATTACACATATTTACATCTAGTACACCTGAAGCATCATGGGTAGACATAGTCACTACTCCAATTCGAAGCATAAGAGGCTGTGGGTCCCATGTCTTGACAGGCAACCCCAGTCATTAAGTCCTGATCCATCAAGCCTGTCTTAGGGTGGCGGTGGACCCGCCGCATCCGGGCATACTTCGGGAGCCCAGAGCCCTCTTCTCCGGGGTGATGATCTACAACTCCCGTAGAATCCAATAGTAATTCCCTAGACTTAGCTCCTGTTCTGAAAAGGGCTGGGTGGAGCTACGGCTCAACTTTGGGCTTCCGCAGCATCCAAAGAACATGGCTGGAGCCGGGCTCAGCGCGAATGATCCTCACGGATTTCAGTTGAAATGTCGTGTTTCAAGTTCACGGATTTCAGTTGAAGCGTCGTGTTTCAAGTTCACATGTCAGCATTGTTGGTCGTGATTGGATTGGGCGGTTGGTTGATGTTATCACCAGCTGAGCACACTGAAATGGTGACCAGCGCTTCTTTGAAGCCTGCCGATAGTCTTTCTGACATCTGCAGCAAACAGTGTAAGAAATGCAGCTTATCTTGTGGTTTCGAACCCTACTCATATGCTATCGCTGCGAGATTGAGGCCGAAGTAGCTGCAAGCGAAACCCCGAACCGTCTCAAAGTCTTCCAGAGTCTTGAAGTTACGCCATAGACTCCCAGAAGCCGAAACCTCAACCGCAAAAGGCTCTAAAACCCCAAACCGTACGTCAACCTCAAACATTGTAGTACCCCTAAGAACATGAAGCTCTGAACCCCCAAAATCCCACAAAAAGCGACATGAAGTGAGGAGACTAAGGACTATGCTCCAAATCAGGCTGTCGAGGGTGCAGTCCTGAACTCTGGCGGGTCAGCTTCTGAACGCGAGTTGCGGTGCTCCACAAACCTCTGCACGTCCTGATCGACTTTGGAATGCCGGACCATCGGGCTAGTCGGGTCCACAACCTGCAAGACGAGCCCAATGTCCCTCAACTGCGCAATATGCCAACAACACATGCTATATAGAGGCTGGTATCTATTCTTTCAGAGCAGGGTAGCAGGGGATCGAGACCATAGAATAAGCAAGAAAGGAACTACCTTGGAGACCACAGGCCCTGCTCCTGAAAGCCCTATATAGAGTCTCCCCGACACTGTTCAAACTTTCGTTCGGGTCCTGTCTGACAGCCGCCCAGCCGTAGTCGTCACCAAACCTTCGGGAATATGAGCTCAAAAATTATTTGCGGTAAGGAGCATCACGGGTAGCAAGGGTCCTTCACAGGTACAGGCCTGCTGACAGCTGTCAATCACAGCGGAGCCACCAGTTCCAGGTCAGCACAACCCCTATCAACTGAGGGGTACTTCTCGAGGGCCGCATCGGCTTCAGCCGCAGGGTTCGTGATGCAGGTACAGGCACAAAGGCAACAGCATCAGTCAAAACCCGCTAAGTTCACAGAAAGTCTGCCGCATCTGCCAAACTTTAAGAAATGCTGGCTGATCCTATCCTTCTCTCTGACTCTGAATGCTGGTGTAGACGACGTTAAACTTCGAGCTCCGTTCGGCACTACGTTTCAAGCCACGTGGCATGATGCCACCCGGCTCAAGGATGTCGTAGTAAAGCGACAGCTCCTTCTAAAAAATGGACCCGAACATCCTTAACCTGGAGACCCCCAAACCGCTCATAAGTACTACGTACTATCCAGTTCATGGAAACCTGTGCCTTTGCTGTCGGGCCGACCCGCGCTTCGTTCTTGCTATCGGCTAGATGGCGCGAGTCTTCTTCACCAGTACTGTGGGCTTTGGGGGTTGAGGGTGTATACGCAGGGCTTCAGGATTCAGGTGCTAAGACTTGTTGTAAGTTGTAGGATTGTAGGGGTGGAGGTTTCACCGACACTTCGCCTCGGCCTTGGCCGAAGCGGTCAGAGGTCTCCTCTCAATCCCCTCCCCACTGACCCGCCCCCGGCTCCAAACCTGAACACCAGAAATACTCTCAGCCGTAATCCTCAAAACTCTAACACCCGAAACTAAACAGGAATACAGCAGAAAAACACTTAAAATAGATAGATAGATATGTATGTATATATATATATATGTATATGTATTCTGCTTCGAACATCCCACTCCAGAGATGAAGGGATTCTGACGGGATTCTCTAGGCACTCAGGGGACTCCCTGGGGTTGGGCACTCCAGGAACTTTCTGCGCTTCTCTCTGAGTCTGGCCACTTCCTCCCTCAGAGCTACAGACCGGGCAGGGAGTAGACCGGCGAATAGTTGAGATATCCAACAACCTCGCTCCGAAGGTCGGGAATTCCAGACTCCAAACCTCCCATCAAACACCCTGAGAACCCAAAGCAAATGCTCCAGGAACGTTTCATCCAGCTCGTGGGCTGAATCCAAGAACACCAAGTCCTGCAGCTTTTGGAGTTTCTGGGTTTTGGGTTTCGGGTGTAGAGGCAGTGAGGCATCTGAGAGGGATCTCGTGATGTAAGGTTGGAGGGACATGCGGTGACTCAGCTCAAGAAACGTCAGTCTCGGCTCCGCTGCAAACCTGACATCGTGGTTTGGGTTCAGCCTTTATTACCACGGCCTCGAATTTGCCACTGGTGTGTATACCTCTAGCCCTCTAGCAACTCATGCTCATGCTGTCTGCAGAAGGAAATGAATGCCATCCGCGGCCCTCGGACAGAACAGAAATTCATCAGACATCCGAAACCTGAAAACTGGCAAGCCAAAATCTTCAGCTCACTTTAGAACTCCAGTTCATTGCGGTCCGGATAGAAGCGCTTCTCCACCAGCCACCGGGCGCCCACTGTTGATGTGGCCTTTTCAAGTTTGGCTGAAGGGATCTGAAGGGCAGACGGGCAAGAATTGCACGAGCACCTTTGTCTTGAGGACTTGGGTTTCTGGACGTATGCAATTGTAGGTCTGTATATGTATGTATATGTATAGGTATATGTATGTATGTGTACGTGTATGTGTATGTGTATGTGTATGTGTATGTGTATGTGTATGTGTATGTGTATGTATATGTATATGTGTTTGTTTTTGTATATGTATATGCATATGTTTTTGTATATGTATATGTATGTGTGTATATATATATATACATATGTGCGTGCGTGTGCGTGCGCGTGTGCATGTGACGTGTGCGTGTGCGTGTGCGTGTGCGTGTGCGTGTGCGTGTGCGTGTGACGTGTGACGTGTGACGTGTGACGTGTGACGTGCGTGCGTGTGTGTGTGTGTGTGTGTGTGTGTGTGTTCGTTCGACCTTTGTGATGTGAGGTGGTCCAGTGGTTGCACAGACTGTCTGCATCAGCTTAGGAGTGTACCGCGCATTTACTGCTGCTACCGTATCAAGCAGGATGACTAGGATTCAGGCGCTCACGGTCGTCTGCTGAAGATCAGATTTGGAAACATCCATGCACCGCCCAGGCCTGAAACGGCAGTATGTGATTCCGCGACACCTCCAAAGCTGCGAGCTTCAAGCAGCAACATCAAGCCTTATGTAGGGGTGCGAGGAGTAAACGTATGATGCTAACCATAGAAAGGATATTTCAGGGCTGAGGCTTGATGCCCTTTGCCAGGCAAACAGATGTGTGGCTTCGGTTCCTCAGCGCAGCGAAAGCTTTCGAAGCTTCACAGGCAAGCGTCGGTTCGATTTATCGCGAACTGGACGTTGGCCATAAACTGGTCAAACACCATCATACGGCCGTCAATGATCTTGACCTGATTGAGACAGACTCTGCTCGAAACCTGAACCCGAGGCCGAAACCTTCTGCTAGAGAATTCGAACCTCAGAAGCGAAAGCGAATTCAAAAAGAAAGGCTCCCTCTCGGACGCTCGACCACTATCGCTAATATAAGAACTGTACTCAAAGCACCAACGGGAGACTACAACTAAATAAACAGATCTGGATCTCCGACATTCATGTCAAAAGCATGGACCCTTTGCCACCAGCGACTGTAAGGGTTTGGTATGCACAGACATCACGTAGGGGCCTCGTTAAGTATAATACAGGGTTCGTGCTGCACATATACAGGGCTGCAAGTGGGTACTCGAACCTCTCTATATTCAGCAATCTCCGACTGACTCCCCCGAATTCCCGGCGAAGCAGAAACCTCCGGTTTGTCCAGGCGGCCCACCCAGCTACGCTCCGATCCTGCATCGCTCAAGCTCGAAGATACAACCCAACGAGTCAACGAGTGCTAGGTACTTACATAGCACAAGCAGGGTTTCCAAATGTCCTCACTTGGGTACTCAGCATTCTTAAGGAAACAGACCGCACAGTGCCGAATGGTTGTCGTCCGGCTTTGGAAATCTGTGCTGCTTCATTGCAGCAGATGAGGCTGGAAGGTATCGTGTTGAGGGCTTACTAAAGGTTTCAGGCGTTGTCTGTACTCCCGCCGGTCTTCTACGGTCAGGCTCTGGGCGAAGGATGTGCGGATCTGCATTCGACTGAGTCAGAGCAGAAGGGTCCAGCGTATGGCCTTACTGTCCGACCTCTATAACGGCCCAAGGCTCCGTCTGGTAGTTGGCCCACATATTGGTGTCTCCAGTGAAAGGATCGATGCAAAGGATAGGGACATGGTACCTTAGGGCTTTCTGTTTGCAGTTCAAGGTTGTCTCGACCACAAAGCTCCAACCTACAGGCTGCTCGCAAACGCGAAGCTCTGGACTTCCGACTGTAGGCTGTGTAGCTTTCTCAAGTTCCAGCGGCAGCTTCCAGTCGTCGTGGCTCTCTTTCCAAATTCCGAATCTCAGCCCGTGCACGGTTCTGATTACCCCAATGGCCAGCTGCATCCCAAGACGCATATTAAACTGATCGAGGACGGTTGCCATGTGGATGGCGCTGTGCCCATGAAGGGACCCGACCTGCAACGCGGCTTTAGATCAGTGCTGGGCACAGTTCTGCGACTTCTCGGATCTAGCAATGGCAATGGTCCTGGTGCTTCACGATTCGGTCTACTTCGCGGCTCTTCCGGAAGGTGCGCATCGCCAGGGAGGTCGACCAGACTTGCCACTTTTTGAATTAAACAGCTTCCCAATCCTGCAGCCACATTCCTCTTTCGACCCGGGATCCGAACACAAATGCCGAAACCCTGAAACCCCGGCTGTCGCCTCAACCACGAACTTCGGCATGCCTGCACCAGCTCATGGCCAACTGGATGATGGAAGCTGACTACTCTCGGCCTTGCAGCCTAAGCACCTACATTGCTCAACATAGGGTTTCCTTCGCATCGATTCGTGTGCTCAGGCCGACATGCGACATCATCGTGTTGCCTCAAACACGACAACGCTTGTGGAATTACGAGAAACAAGTTGTACGCACGGGTGTCGCCAGCTGTGCACGCAGCCCCCTCGCCGAAGCGAACGCTATGGGAATATGGGCTGCGTCACTGTGTGACAAGTGCCCAAGCAGAGCCAATCGAGTACGATGCGAGCTCCTCCCAAGTCCTGCTGTCTGAGACTGGTGTCCATCACCGAGGGCCGAGCACTCCCAACCGTGCACCGTGCAATCATCCTTGTGTTAGGAGCTACGGTTGTGGTTTGTGCGAGGATCCTTTGGGCCCGCCTTCAGGCATCAGAATGTCCAGGATGTTGGTGAAGAACCTGAGCTGTGGAGTGCCACAGAACCCTTGCAACTCGAAGTTTCGGGCCTCCCTTGCTTGAAGGATCGGGGGATTCAGTGAGACAAATACCTCAGGTGGGGAGCCGTGAATGTATGTATTTATTTGTATATATAGATATAGATATAGATATAGATATAGATATAGATATAGATATAGATATAGATATAGATATAGATATAGATATATACACACATATATAGATATAGATATAGATATAGATATAGATATAGATATAGATATAGATATAGATATATACATATGTATGTATATGTATGTATGTACAAGTGTGTGTGTGTATATATATATATGTGGACATAGACAAAGATGTAGATGTAGATAGCCAGCATGCCTGCAACCCTACAAACAGGTAGCTGCGCTTGCAAGGGGCCGTGTGTTTTGTGGCACTCGGAAAACGCACCGTTCTGCACACATGGCTAAACCTGTGGGAAAACGCATACGTGTGGAAAACGCAGCAGGTCTTGGACAGCGAGAATCCTCGAGAGAGGTCGTGTTTTCGTTGCGACTTGAGCGTTTTACCGAGGTAAAACGCACGCTTTGCGTGGCAGGGTTTTGAAAAAGTTGTGTGTGTGTGTGTGTGAGGGTGACCCCAAAAAGGCGGGTTGGGATTACAACCCTTAACACCCTCACACAAATCAGGGATTGGACCGAGGCAACCATCCGGTACACTTCTCGTTTTGTGCGTGTGCACCTGAGCTGGCATGTGCCATGCTACTGTGCTACTCTTCTTTGTATCGTTCCTTGCGCAGGGGTCATGCTATTCGCAGCCTAAACCCTAGAGCCTGAACTCCAAACTCAAAACCCTAGACCGTAAACCGATATGAAAGTCTTTGGGCGAGGCAAGTTTGGGTGGGGTTTCGAGGCCTTTAAGGGCTTCGGGTTTCCAGGCCTTTAAGGGCTTGGGGTTTGGAGGCGTTTAAGGGTTCGGGGTTCGGAGGCCTTTAAGGGCTGCACTGCTTTTGGGTGTCAGGCCTGCATTGCTTCGGGATGTGCTTCCAATGTACATAATTACCTCCCCCCCAAACCGGGAAACCGCCAGGTCGAAACCAAGAGAACGCCAAAGAAAACCAAAACAACAGCCCCGGACACTTAGAGGCGCAGTCACCACAAACACAGCCCCGATTCTGGCAGTCGGCCTTAGACTCCCATAATCCCTCCGAGATGCTCGGGTTTCAGGTTCGAGTGCGGGAAGTTGGAGAAGCTCGGCCGGATCCCGTACCTGGTATCAGAAAAGCAGCAGAAGGATGCCATTGAAAAGCTCTATACATGCTCAATACTTTACCCATGACACGGCTACACCTCATTCCTCAGATGGCTGTTTAATGTTGGATGTAGGAGCCTTGACGCTTGCTACTGGTTGTACGGGGTTCCATTGGGGAACTCTCAAGACGAATTGCAATTCTTCAAGCACCGACACCTTAACCTGCAAGCCCAGCCACCGGTTCGAGAAGCCGACAACTACGTGGGTGGAGTCGTTCCCATCTACGGGCCGGTGGCCGAAGAGCTCGGAATGGAGATCCTGGCGCAAGGCTTAAGAACCTGAGGCTTATGGTTTAGCGCTGTTTGCGACCTGAGACCTTGAATTTCACTCCAAAGCCACTTTAAGCCTAAATCCCAAGCCCATGTTGTTGTGCCGTGAACGATGTGAGGCCAGCTCGAGTCTTTGCTTCACAACACGTCTTGCTACAGACTTTGTGTTCAGGATGCCGTCATCCCGGGCTTCACGGCTGAGTACTCTGTGCCCTGGTAAGGTAGTGGACATAAACGACGTAAGATGGCTTTGGGGCATAAAAAAAATTGAAGGATGTTGAATCCATCAGGAGTGTGGGGTCATGTTTATACTGCGGAATATAAATGTTCCGGCCTCTATGCGCTGTCGATCTCAGGGGTATGGCACGAACTACTCTTACAGAAACATAGAGGTCTTGCCTAGGAACCCCAAGCCCTGCCGTTCATCGGGAGATCGTATAGAAAGCCCAGATCCTGCCAAGCAAAAACCCTTTGAAAAGGTGTTGGGTTCACCGCGTAACTAAGGACTCAAGCCCGTACTACAGCATTGTTGCTTATTGACCTCCTCGACCCTCCTTGAGTCTGCGATGAGCCCCCTATTGCACACTGCTTGTATCTTTCACGAGTCCTTCCTTGACGACAAACATCGATCAGATCCAAGGCTTGGGGCCTCGAACGTCGGCGTACGGCCGAGAGCGAGGGTCAGCAGTGCCCATCGCCACGCCATGGGAATGCTAAATCTAGGCAAAGTATTTAGGGTTTGAAAAAATGGCGTTGTAAAGTTTCACACCCCCTTTCCGGGTTTCTAGTAGTAGAGAGGCATGAACAATGAAAACAAGGCTTGGTGGTGCATGGTACTGCAATCATACAAGCGGGATTATGAGGGAAGGTTACTAAGACTAATACTAGCTATGCTTATAATAGCAACTTTTCCGTTGCTCACCAGAAACCCTAAACCGCAAGCAACCAACGAGAGAAGTTCTGCATCGGGCAGTTTGCAGGTCGCAGGACCCACGATCAGCCTTGTACTATATCTACCATACAGGGCCTTTAAAATTTAAGAGATACTGTATACATTCTTCGGGCAGCCTTATTGCTTCTCAGCTTTTTCGGCTTGATGATGCTACAGCTCTTGGGGGCCAAGCATTCCAATTCTATTGGGAGAAGGCACTTAAACATAACCTCTGCAACTGCACTGCAAGGTGGTATCCCTATAGAGGTGTATGTGATTATGCGCCGCTGGTCTCCCTAATCTATAGCCAGGTGGCCTGATTGAGCAAGCGATGGACAAGGAGTGAAGCAATGAGGAACGCGCAGCGAGGCTTACATGGGGGATACTCACACGTATCAAAATCTGAAGTATAACTCCTTGCGAAACCGAACTAAGCCTACGACTGGTACTGCGTAGGTAGGTAGGACCCCCTAAACCCCCAAAATACGAAACACACTGAAACCCTGAAACCTAAAGCATAAAACACCACCCTAGCATCCTTGAACCCTGCACAGACGGCCGGGCTGCCTCGATCAGCACTGTGGGCCCGCTTGATGGCCCTAGGCGTGCTCCAGAACCGGTCTCTTCGCAACTTTCGCTCGATTAAGGAACCTATATCCTCAAAAAAGAGATCCTCCATCATGACTTAGCATAGCCTTAAATGCGTATTGGACTCGCCGGGGAAGGGTGCAAGGTTGAGTCCCTCAGCTGTTTGGACTCTTGGACTCCAGAGCTCCTTGTCAAAAACAGCTTCGACTTGCAAGCTCAGGTTTGGAGTCGAATAAATAATCGGTTCGGAGTTTGTAGGAGGTTACATAGGCAACTGCACAGAGGCCACAAGGGCATAGACTAAATAACTAACTATTCAGACCTCCAGACTGCAAGTTCCCCCAACCTGATGCTGCTTTGTCTTGCTGCTGTTGAGGACCCATCAGGAGCCGACATCCAGCTCATGCGAGTTTAGTAGTCAACCACATGGCCTGTGATAAGGACCCTACATGCAAGGTAGGTTAGCATAGCTCGAACGGAAGGGGCGTGGCCTGGAAGAAGTTCCACGAGCCTCTCGACCTGCAGAACAGGTGGAGGCTTCAGGAGCGCTAAGGAAGAGCTCACATGAGGAAACCTTCCTGACATCTCATGACAGCGGGGTTGCCATGGAAGGGGGACTCTCACTCTTTGGGCTGCCTGTAAATGAACTGGGCATCATAATATCAATGAAACAACAATGCCAGCAAGAGGATGAACCGTAAACAGACCCTGCCTGCCCGCCCGGCAAAGGTCTCTTCGCGGTCTGGGTGGCAGTGGTGGCTTGCTGAAGCCCTAAACTCCAAACCAAAGCACGAAGCCACACCAAAACCCTGGCTCAAGCCCCAAACCCGAAAAAATCCTGCAACCACCGCAATCCCCAAGTTGTCGGGATGAGCCCCCGGAATCCTGAGCCCAAAAAACAAAGCTTCTGTCACTGCCAGGGATTGGGACGTTCAGGGTCTAGCTCTCCTTGACAAAGAGCAACTTCCCGAATGCCCAAATTCGGCTGAGACGCAGAAGGGTTCAATGCAGCCGGGGATGAGCTCTGCACTGTTGATCCAGCGGACAGAGATACACGACGTTGCAGCATAGGCGCGTGTGGAGGGTTTACGGTTCACAGTTTGGGGTTTGGGGTTAAGGGTGCTGAAAACCCCCAACTGCCAGCACTCAATCATCAAGGCTTATAGAAACATCAGAACTCTGTAGAAATCTAGACCCCCGACCCACTAACCCGACAAACACCCTTCAAGATCGTGAGCAACCCTTAAAATCCCAGACCACCCTATATTAACCATCATCACGCAAAAAGCCTTACGAAGGAAGAAAGCCCGAAAGTTCCAAGAGAGCCTGTCCCGCCACTTCCGGCGCCATCTTCGGGCGCTGGCCAGCCGGGAAGACCTGACCCCAGGTGGGTGTCGGGGTGTATCCGTTCCTGCTCGCGGTTGCCGAGAATTTATGGGGTCCTAAAACCGTAAAAAAACCGTTTGCCACATAAAGCTGCCACCCTGAAGACTGCAGGTAGAGAGCCTTTTTTCGGACTGTACGGACAGGTAGAGCCTCTTTGCGGACTGTACGGAAGCGTGTTTCATGAGTTGTATTGGAATTTTGTGACAATTTGGAAAGATGAAGGCTGCATTGGCCCCCACGGCCCGTGCATCTACCACGGCCTTGAAAAGACAGTTCTAGGGTTTGGGATGTTTGTGTCGAGTCTTGGTCTGTGGGGCTTTGCAGATGCCGGGTTTGGGGTATTCGATTTACGCTGTAGGGTTCAAGTATTGGGTTGGCGGATTGATTAGGTTCAGAGACCCGGCCTCTTCTCGCTGCTTTCCAACAACCTGAGAAAGCCAGTGCTCGAAGTCTCGGCGGTCCAAATCCGCTGAGTCGACTTTAGGCCTATGAGACTTTGGGTTTCGGGATTTAGAGGGACTCAGAGCTTGGAGTCTTGTCTGCATTACGCCAATGAGACGTGGAACCTCGTGCCTGCTGCGCTTTCGAACCTACTTGTATCGCTTCTGGCTTCATCTATGTAGACACCTGATTTCCAGAAGCCTCTTCTTCAGGGACTTTGATATGGGGGATATGGGGATCCTTTACTCAAGCAATGGGGCTCTGCAATTATGCAAATCAGAAGTCTGCAATGATCTTTGCAGGCGGGACCCTGACGGCTGAAGGTCGAAAGCAAGAAGAGATCAGGTTCATCTCTCGCCGGGCTCCATCTCTGCCGCTGTACATTGAAACTGTTATTACGGACCAAATTAACCCTAAAAGACGTGTGGCTCATATCCCAGATTAGATTTATCGATAGAGATACACTGCAGCATATGTGTCCAACTGTCCAACAATCATGTGGCCCCTAAATTAAAGGCTGCAGCATCATCAAGCCAGTAGTGGAGTTGACGGCGCCAACGGGACAGTTTGCGATCGAAGTCACGCTTGGAGCATTTGTCCAGTGCGTTCGGGGTTCGCGGGTGCATTGGCCCACCTGCGTTGCTGTTGGGTCAAAAAATGTTTGTATGCGATGTCGAGACTCTAAGAACATCTAAGAACACAGCAAAGCAAAGCTGCTGTTCACACGTAGCTGTACCAAGCACAGCCCAGTCACGACATTCAAATGGTACTTGCTCACGATAACGCAGGTATTCAGGCCTTGCCTTGCCAATCATGATCTGGCGTGAGCGAGCGTACCTGCGTTTTCCCGCTTCGTCAGATGTTGCTTCAAGAGGAGCCACGGGATCTTCTGGATGAGGCATCACAGCGTGTTCTGCATCTTTGGATGCAAATGGCAGGTTGCGAGGATGTCTCTGCACGTCATCCTCCTCCGTCTCCTCTTGACCGTCACTGTCGAGGAAATCTTCCGTCATGGCCTGTTCTGGACTGAGTAGGTAGGCAGTTACGGCCTGCTGAATCTGCTCCGCCAGTTGTTCATCCTGCTTCAGTTGGGTCCATCCCATAGAAGCAGCGTCCGTTGCATCCAAGCTTTCAGGCATCCGATTTTGGTTGTTCGCTTCGTGATTGCCTCTCTTCTTCCTGCTCTGGATAGGTCGGATAGGCGGTTGCACTTCCCGGTCGTCCGGGCCTGCAGGCTTGGTGTGCACGGGCTCTTCTCCCTGTGTGCAAGGAGAAGCCGTGAGCGCTCCACTGCTCTGCAACAGCCCGCCTTCAACCGACTTTATGCGTGCTCGCAGCTCCGAGATTGTTCGATGACTCTCTGCCAGCACCTGGTTTTCAAGCTGGGAGACATGCCGGCGGCCCCGCTCCAGCTGGAGCAGCAGGAGCAAAACACCGTGCAGCCGATCCTGGATCTAACAAGATCGTGTTTGGACAAGTACATGCTTGTTGCTGTCAAGCGATATGATCTCTCACTCAACATCCACAAAGCCAAAATTACCGAGAGTCAGGTGCTCCGGAGGAAACGGCAGGCACAGAAGTGCCACGTGTCATGTTGCCAGCCGTCGTCGCAGGTTGCTCCACCAGGTTGCCATGATGACCCGGGGCAGAGTTTGTAACAAGGCCCGCGGCCACTTTCCTCAAATGCTAGTGTGACATGCACAGAAGCTCGGTGTTTCTGGTCTATAATATGAGCAGCAGGAGACTCACGTAAAACTCAACCCCATGCTAGATTAGATGACCCGAAGGCCCAAAACCCAGAAGGACTGAGCTTCCGGTAGCTCTCGGCCAGCACTCGGTTTTCCAGCTGAAAGACGTGCAGGCGGCCCTGGCCCAGTTGGAGCAGAAGGTCGTGCAGCCGGTCCTCGTAAACTTAGGGTTTAGGACGTAGGCTTCGGGTCCAAGGTTTACCGGCTAACGGGTTTTGGGGCTTGCGGGGTTTTGGGATCCACGGAGTTTTTCGGGCTAAGGGCCAAAGCTTCGGATTGCGTGCAGCCGGTCCTCATGAACCTCTCCCGATGCCACTTTGGGCTGATCGGGCGTCCCGGAATCAGCGGGCCTGGCGAAGGTAACACCGAACATCAGATCATCCATTCATCCATCCATCCATCCATCCATCCATGCATCCATGCATCCACCCACCCACGAGCCATCCATCCCGTCTCTCCATCCCTCCTGCCACACATACATACATTCATTCGTTCATACAAGGTCACGCTCGATTAGATTAGGAGACAAGAAGCAGCCACCGAGACACAAGGGCCAATCAATCTTACGAAAATCTATGCCGCACGTAAACTCAATCCTCGCATCAACAGCAACACATCATGCCATCCAAACATACAGCCCCAACCAGCTCCACGGAAAAGCTCTTAGGCTCATGATCACCTAACCTTCTAGCGCAACAGCTTCACTCAACAGAACCACAACAGAAAGTAATACGATTAGAGCTGGGATGCAGTGGGATCTTCCTAACATCCTCGCCAGCCCACATCCTCGCAGCGATACCGCCAGCGATGGCACCAAGCCCTGCCCCAATGGCCACACTCACCATGGTCGAAGAGCTGGTGTTCCGAATGGGAGCCGAAAGCTTCATGAAAAAGAGGTTTGAACACTTCGTGGCAACATCCCCCTTATAGCGCCTGTAGAACTAAACTGCTCCCAAATATATACCTTTCCTCTAAAGTGCCTGTATGAAGCCACGGCTGACAACACCCTCACCCCTGACCTCTGGAAATAAAGCCAACGCTCAGACTCTTCTCCTAAGCACTGCCGGACCAACACATCGGACACGAGGCCCTGCCTGCAAACCGCACAAGGCCCGAAGTCTCTTTCAGGGTTCTATGAGGCTACTCTAAGGCTTCCGAGATCAGGGCACTGGGGGTCAAGAGGGCTTACTGGTTTGGGTTTAGGGCTTTAGGCAACTTTAGGCTTTAGGGTGCATGGCTTCAGTGCAATTAGGGTTGAAGCCCAGCATATCCGAAGCTTGCAAGGCTTGCCAGGTCCCTGTGCTCTCTGTAGTTCCTCTTCGATTTTAACGAATGTTATGGCTTGGATCCCGAGGCCCAAACCCTGAAACCCTCGACAAGATAATCCAACTAAAAGAACTACAATTGAGAGCAAATTCCGTTTGCTGCGCCAAGCAACGAAGCTCTTCAGCCCGTCGAAGCAAAAAAAGGCCTCCGGCTTTGGGACTGCGGGCTTTGGGGGCTTCGGGGTTTTGCCGGGAGGACTGGAACGCTGTTCTCCATACGCAGTAGCCCACGAAATTGTGGATGGTCTGGGATACCATCAAATGCCATCGGATCTTTGATAAGATTCTTGCAAACAGTTCTTGGGGTTGGGGGCTGCGGTTGGCCCAGGCTACCTTCGTCACGGACGTCTCGGTTTCATCTGCCAGGAGAAACTCCAACCTTAACCAAGTCCTGTATGCCAAACCCTATAAACCCAACCCTGCTTGCTTAGACCAGCCGAATACCGCCCAAGCCTCCGATCGCTTGGACCCAGACCTGGGGCATGATGTGGATTTGCAGAATGGGGTTTAGGCTTTAGGGTTTAGCTCCTTCAAGGATGTAGGCTTCATGTTCTGGCTTAACAAGCACGTCTTGAACTTACAGCTCCAAGCCCCGAATCCCTCAGCGCGCAAAGGCCCTTGCACCCCCTGAAGCCCTGAAGCCTCAACAAAGCCGCCCCCAAACGGACATTGCAAATTTTGGGGATTTAAGGTGTTTCGGGGTGCTGTCAGATGCAGGGAGCCTCTTGGCCGCGTCACTCATGCGGAGGCGCCGGGCATCACCGTCGGTCCATGGGCCCAAGAGACTCTGACTCTGTGGGAGGAATTCGTTTTCTCAAGAGCAGAAGTCCTAAAGCACTGTGGAGTCTCCGGTCTTCTTTTTTCTTGTCTTCCTGGGTTTGCGGGAGGGCGGAGGCGGGGAGGGTTCGGATTTGAGCTTTCCGGGCTACGGGGAACAGGCTGGTTGCTGGGTGTGGGGGTGCTAAATGTTGCGCCCTGCCAACCCATGTTACCTGTTGTGATTTCCAGAAGCTCTGTGAGCAGAACACCTGCAAGACAACTCGAGGCAGAGGATTTATTATTCGGGGTTTTGGTCGTCAGGATGCGGTGGGGTGGCTTAGTTGTTGCAGTGAGGACATGTGCGCATTGGCGTAGAGCATTGACTTACGATCTATAGTTGTCAATTGTGAAGGGACTGACCGTGGGAGCGAGGGGACGCACACTGCCGGCAAAGCATGCACGTAGCAACTGGCCACGATAGCTTGGCACGACTTGCGGGCATTGCGCCATTACGCCTTGACCTGGACAGAAGACCTCTGCTCCTGTTCAAGCACACCAAGACTAGCTACCCGTAGCTCTCATCAGCATCGCTGCCAGCACCATCTTGGAAAATCACAGACAAAAAACCAACCTGACCATCGGCATATCGGGCCCGGAAACTATCAGAGCCAAAGCCCCAGCACCTCGGTAAGCCTGCTCAGATTCCGGCTCAATCGTCATTGAAGGTGTGCTGCCGATTTTCTGAACAACTTCATCAGTTTGCACCTACTTGTGAGGCAAGTGTGCCAATCACACCAGCTGCCAAACTCAAAGTGCGTTCGATGCAAACTCAACAAAAGCTCGATGCAGAAGGTCCCCAAAACAGGAACGATATGTCAGCTCTTGAACTTCAAACCTGAACCGAAACCTGAACCTGAAACCCGTGAGGGCTGGAGGACTCCATGCTCTGGATCGCAACCAGCATTCGAGGTTGGCTTCCCGTACAGCGAAAGGCTCTTGAGTACTTGGCTTGTCTGGATTGCCCAAAGACCTGTTCTGGCAGCTGGTGGAGGACACTGCAGTCTCGTGTTTCAGAACTCATCTGGGAACTTGAGCTGCAATGTCGCTGCTGTAACAAAAAATTCTCTGGAAGGAAGCCGGCGTGCAGCACAGGTCCCTAAGATTGCTTTTCTCTCGATCGCAAAAGACAGCTCGGGATGGAGGCTCAGAAAGCTCTGTGCGTTGTAAGGCTCTAAGGGACCCGTGCATCCGTGGATGCTTCACCCCACTGTGCCAGCTGGAGCCCTGAATTCCTATAAAAGGAAAAAAGCCGCTTTGGGGCTGTGTTCGGGACTTGCAAGGACTCATCTTGCACGTGTGCTCACTGATCTGGGTCTCTTCCGTGCATGTTGAGGCCCCGGCCATTTGCGGCTTACAGATGCACCTCTCTCATGTCTTTGGCAAATGCTGCGGAGTCTCCGCCAGCTCAGAAGACCTTAGCAACACAGGCGTGAGAATCAAAGCACAAGCCTGTCGCTCCCAAGTTTGAAAAGCAAATCCTGCGCAAAGAAGAAGAACTCTTAGACTATCCAGTATATTATGAGTCTCAGTCCAGGTGCCGCGGGGTTTAAGCCCACCTGGCGGGCCTTGAGCTGCAGTGCGAGGTGATGCGAGTGGAGCCGATTGAGCCTCGGAACGAGGCTGTTCGAGATTTCGGCTCAAGAGGTAGGATTGGGTCAGGGTGAATGCAAGCTCGAAGTTTTCGCCTCACGAGAAGGCTCCTGGGAAAGTCTGAGGAGTCTCCGGAGCTGACTCAGACGTAGCGGAGAGGGAGATGTCCAAGAACAGCCGCGGCGCATGAAGTTGCCCCCATGAAGCCAAAGGTTCTCCTCAACAGGCCCAACGGGTCCATGGTAAGCAGGGTTTCTGTACTACTGTAGGAGTTAATTAGCATTCTGGTTTGTGCAAGCATTATGGGCAATTTGGATCCCTTGGCAGGGACAGGAGATCTCCGCACGCTTGGTCTTCGAAGTTCCAACTCACCCAAAAACCTCGCAAATGGAAGAAAGCACAATGCGCAAGAGTCCACGGGCCGCAACTTAGACTCAATGCCGTGGAGTTGCTTACCATAGCATGGTGCCGCATGTACCAAGACCCTATTCACACGATTAATGCCTCACTTCCATATCAATTCAGCCTGCAATTGGGAGTAGAGCATACAAACCACTTCTGCCAGTGCACTCGCTGAAGGTCCCCGAAGCATCATTCCACAAGCGCTAGGCGCGACTTCCAGACCTTGTACACCGAAGACTGACATGCCGAACTACGGTGTTGCAGGCCTTTACAAGGGAAGCCTGAGTGATTCGAACAGGGGTTGGGCGGGTATCATGCTGTACCTACGAGTATCTTCTTCAGGCCCCTATATTCGAGATTTCTCAACTGGGCTGCCCCACCTGGCGGGTTGGCTTCCACATGGCCCGGAGCTCTCCTGGCCACGTGGCTGCAAAGAGTCCGACTCAAGAACGATACAGAAGCCGCTTAGGGCACAGGATTGCAGTCGTGCAGAGGGACTTAACACTTTCGCGTGTAGCATTTCGCCGCTTGATACTGCGTGTGAACATGTGGCTATAAAATCCCTATATATATGATATGTTATCAGACAACCCGATTTAGATCATTCATTTCTAGCGGCCGCAAAATAAGCCTTCCTGTGATTCCTTTCCCCCCCTCCGGCAAGCAGCCAAAAGAAGGAAACGGGAGGTGGGGCCGAGAAAGCTTGATTTAAGTGGAGCGAGAAACCCAAGTTCCTTGCAAACTCTCGCCGTCCTTCCCAAGGACCCGGGTCGCCGCGCGTGGCGGAACCCAGACCCCAAACAGGGCCCACCTTGTTCAGGCGTCCGGGAATGACTGGAAGATCATGCGCCCGAAGCTGCAAAGAAACTGTGCCGGGTCTGTGTGGCTAGCGGTCTTCGGAGTTTAAGCTTTGGTTCAGCTTTCTGTTGGCTCTGTTGCCCCCCCACATTGACATGGACTCGGCTGTTCTTTGCTCAAGGGCCCATTGAAAAGGGCTCCTGTGCAGCATAGTCAGACCATCCGGCACCGACCTCAAGTCCACTGCTACACGGGCCTCAACACGACTAGGGATTTGGTGGGACAAATCATGCGAGAAATTCCACCGGAATTATAAAGGCACCCGAAGCTAGGAGATTCCGGGTTCTCATCAAAAGGTTGAGGGTTTCTCTTTCAGACCACTTCGGGGCGGTGCTGCAACGCTATCATTCTCAGTTACCATCATCAACAGCTGACCCAAGCTTCGGACCCCGACATCCTAAACCCGCAGCCCCAACACGGGGCCCCGCCTTCCGCGCAACCTCCTCGCCTCACACAGGCACATGCCAGGCTGCTTCGTGCTTGAGAGTTTGTCTTAGGCTGTCGAATGCTGTCGAGCATGGACTTCCACCTCAAACAAGCCTGCTTGTTGTAGGCGTTCTATGTATACAGGCCCACCAATGACTTTGGAAGCAGGTTCTCGAGGCTCAGAGCCTCCTAGTTTTGTAGGCGAGAGTATATTGGCCTTCGTAGTGCGCGGATGCTCACGGCTTCTCGGACGGGCTAGCTACGCTTATCGTGTTGCGATCTGCGGGGTGGTGACTGTGCCAAACTAAATTTCCTACTACTGTGAGAGCAGAAGATTTTGGAATCATCTAGGGGCCGAAAGTCTATCGTTCCTTTTCTACACTTGACTCTGCTCTGCTATACTGTACTACGATACGTTCCCCCAGCAGCCTAGCCCCAGAGTAACCCTATAGTAGTCGAGGTGCCGAAGATCTGCGCCAAGGGTTTCGCCATAGACTGGTAGCCTGCAAAACCCCAATAGCCCTAAAACAAAAAACATACAAACGCACATATTACAAAGCCCAAACCTTGAGGCTTCAGTCTGTTGGGTAGACTCACTCTAGGGCTTTGATGTTTCGGGGTTGGGAAGTCCATGTTTGCGGTCTTTAGCTGGGGTTTGTGCTGCAGCCAGGCTTCCAGCCCATCTCTTAGTCCATGTTTTTGAACTTTGCTTTAAGAGCTGCTCAACTTTCTGTCCAAACTTTGCGTGGCCTGAGCCTGTGAACTTTCAAGGTGTAATACGTTCCGGCTCAAAAATCAAAACTTCCCGTGCCAATTGCGCGGGTTGGCATATGAGCTCCTACACTTTCACCAGACGTGTACCATGTAAACCCCGGGGCCTTAAACTGTACACCTCCCATCGCTGCGGTCGCGGCAAACAAATCGTACGGTCGGCGACTGTCAACAACATCAGAACTCAAGTTGCTGAGTTACCTGGTCCAGAGGCCTGACCTTGCTAAGATTGGCACGACAATCAAAGGGTCTCTTTAACTTCTTAGTAAGGGGTAGCTAGGTTCAGGTCCGTATATGAAGGAACATACGATTTAGGGCCTACATGATAGGGTTCAATTTTATCTACTCAAGAAGGCTGAGCGTTGTCTACTCAGCTGCGCTCTGCTTCGCTTTAACGTCCTACCAGGCAAGGCCAACATGCCTGTGGCCAGAATGATGACATCCGCGGATAGCATGGAGCCGTCCTTCTCCGGACACGTTGATCTGGGTCGACTCACTCATCTTTGCGAAGACGTTAGATTCGGGGATGAGGGCTTAAATGTAAGGCCAAATTCGAAGGCGCACCATGAAAGACTAACGGCACCCCTTTGTCCTCCATTGCCAAACCAC